GCAATAAAGTCTTAAGAAAGTAAACTTCAATCACACTTCTTTTTTTTCACCCCTTTCACGTGTTTATAGGACTGAAAAAAGCTTATGCCTACCTATTCGTGGTTTTTTTTTTGTTTTTTTTTTTGGTTTATTTTTTTGCTGAATTTTGTACATATCGTGTGTAAACACTAGATTTGAAGCAGATAAGCTCCAAGGGTTGGGCTTTCCGGCTTCGAGAGGAGAGAGAGATGCTGAGATTCAAATGGCCTTGGTATGCGTCCAGCTTTCTGAGGGGCCTTTGGAATCCATCGTGGCCCTTAAAAATCAAGACTGTGCCTATGACACGTTGTTCAAGTGGAAGTTTGCACATGTGCACGGGCCAAATATGCTGTTGCTCCATTTTTCCTGCCTTGGCAAGAAAATCTTTTACCTTGAAGATGAATATATTTCAGGGATGAGTTAAGTGAATTTCTGAGGACTTGTGTTATGCACATGCAAAGTGCACACTGGGGAAAAAAAACAACTGAAGATCAAGCCATCTGGTTTTCATTCTTACTTTGAATTCTGATTCATCATGTCAGCCACACATAATCTGTGTACTTACTTTTCTGAGGACAGTTGGAATGATCACATCTCTATAGCAGGGAGCTGTTGTCTCATAAACGTCCTTTCTTTTTTAGCAGATGAATTCTTCAGGTGAAAATTGCAAAGCAGCTGAGTACTTAACACTAAAATACAAGTTATTTATTGCCAAGGCCATGGGATGAAGGAAGTTATTTTCTAGAGGAGCTTACCTTCCCTTCCCACCCACGTGTAACTTCAAAGCTCTTAGCTCACTGCCTTAAAAGATTGATCTCGATTTTATGATGCTTTTAATCGGTATTGTTTACCAGGATTAGAGGCCGGATGGCAAATCCTGTCTTGTCCAGGGCCTGATGCTGCTAATGCTGTCCCACATACTCCGTGATTGTGGCTACCCCTGCAGCAAGGCCAGTGAAAGTTCTGAGAGAGATGTCACTGTAAGGATGGCTCTCCTGTGCCCCGAGGGCTGCCCTGAAGTGACAGCACCATTAGGTCTGCTCAGCAGTTCCTTCATCGTCCTGGAAGTGTTGCCTGCTTGGCTGCTTTGTCTGTAGGGTTCTGCAGCTAGTCTTAAAAACTCTGGCAAGATTGTAATGTAAGGCCTGAACACAAGACTTCTTTCACTTAGCAGTTGGCAAGACAGAAAACATACAGGTAAATGTGTGTTTTGGCTAGATGCTTATTATTTTCTTTTGTTTTGGCTCAAAGAAGTTGCTATTTCACAGAATCACAGAACTGTAGAGGTTGGAAGGGACCTCTGGAGAGCACTGAGTCCAACCCTCTGCTATAGCTGGTTCCCTATTCCCTACAGTTGGTTGCAGTAGGTTTATGAGATTTCAAATACTAGTTAAATGTTGCTTAATTTATGTCAGAATATGTAGATAGTACACATGGCACAGGTAACGGCAAGTAGCCAGGTCAGAAAAGAAAAATTATGAATTTTTTCTATACAGTAAAATATAGCTATGTGCTGAAACTCCCACTCAAGTTAAACTTTGTTTCCTTATGATTTATGACCTCACATTTTGCCTACATAGTCTCAGCATGCTTATAATCTACTTACGAAAAACAAGATTTTTCTTCTATGGGAGTTGTCAAAAATTTGTTGATAAGAACTTTGAACAACCTCCCTGTTGTTGAACATCTGACACAGTGATGGGCTCCACCTTAAACTGAAAGAAGGATATAAACACTTATGGAACTGAATGCAACATGAGGGTGGTGTCTCTTCACTTTCTTGGGTGGCCACATGAATTATGCTGTGGTAAGAACTCACTCTTTGACATACTTGAAGGAATGTTGGGAGATGAATCATATTTGTTTCCTTCTTTATATGATCTGAGTCGCATTGAAGAAACTGTGTCATTCTTTTTAAGTGCTTGGAATGGCATCTCTCATCTAACTACTTAAACGTTGAAAAGGTACATGAGGAAGAAAGACTAAAAGACTGAAACAAAATTGGTCCTTTTCATAGCCAGGCAGCGGGTTTTCTCTTGAACACCGTTTAGGTGAACACTCTTGGGGACAGTTCTTGGGTTATGCCCCATGCAGTCTGGATTGATTGTCCTGCCAAGCAATCCCCTGCTTCACAAACTGGCCAGTGGAATAAACAGGACAATGACAAGATGAACTGCGTGTCAGAAAGGCTGTAACATGACTTAGTATCAGTTTGTACCATGCTGTCTCATGTTTTACTGCTTTCCACAGTGGAAATGACAAGACAGGATAGAGGCCAGAGAGGACTCTCTAACTGCATCTCCCTTTCATCCTTCTCTTGTAAATATGACCCTGTTCTGACAGCTTAGGTCTGATTAATGGGCTTGAAGCCCACAGATGGCACAAAGACTTTGGGACTAGAATTCAGTGGAGTGTCTAATTCCAAATGAAAGGACACACAATAAATCTTTACTGGGAGCTGACTGGGGCAACTCTTCATACAGCAGCAGCTTGTATTCAGACAAGACACACTCTCATCATATTCATTAAAAAATAAGAAAAGAGAGAGAGATTAAACTATTTAAGATTAAGAGCAGTAAGGAAAACTGCCTATATTTATCACTGCTAATTATTACTTGCAGCTGTAAAGCCAGTCCTTTGCTTGTTGCCATTGAAAATTGGGATTAGACAGTGTCACAGCAGTGTATTTGCAAGCTCTAGCCATGGCTTCATCTCTCACTGACAGTGTCCTGCAGGCTTGTCCCAATTACAGGGAATAATCACATTTCAGGGCTGTTGCTGTACATTATTGCACCTGGAGTAAAAGGTCCATTAGTCAGAATTCAGGACATAAATTCCACCCAAAGAAATTAGTGAAACTGATGTTTCCTGGTTTGAGCTTCTGGATCTGAAACTAGATGTAGGTCTCTATGAACACACAGCTTTTAGGAGTGGGATGGTTGAGTGGATATTACAGATGTCCTTCTGCTTCAGGAAGCTTATTAGCACTCCAGCAGGATCCAGAAATCCTTGAGAAGGATTATGGGTTCATTGCCTGAGGTCTGTGCAGAGTAGTATGGAAATGCAGCCTTTGCTTCCTCAGTCGCTGAGGCAGCCAGTATAACTTGAAGTGGGATGTGAGAGGACCAATTACTGTGCTTTACAGATAAAGATGTACAGATTACACCTGGAAGCTGGAGGGATGCTAGAGCATTAGTGTATTACAGAAAGTTAATTATGCAGAGTCTGAAGACCATATTCCTTTCCATTCTTACCTGTTAAATGAGCAAGGCCATCTCCATGCAGAAAAGCTGACAGGAATGTGGTGCAGAAATAAGAAGTACCTGCGTATCTGTAGACAGTTCTAAAAGAGAAATTATATCAGCTGCTATGATAAACTGGAGTAAAGAACTTTTTTTGCCTGATGCCGTCCAGCACCAAAATCAGCTAAGCTTTTAGGTGTGACGGGGGACAGTCTCTTCAAGTTATTACTTATAAAGCTGTTGCATTTAAGAGAAATGCCCACCCCTTTGTTATAGGAAGCAATAATATTTCAGCGTGATTTAGGTGTTAAATTTTACACACGCACATTTAATCAATTTTGGAATTCAGAATACAGGGTACTAAGAAGAAGCAGTATTTAAAAAGATACCAATTTTGGCAGCCTAGATTGTAATTTTAAGCTGATTGGCAAAAATGAGTCTCTAAAGATAGATTCACAGGCAATCTCCTGTAGGATTTTGCTTATGATGTCAAGACTTTCCCTGAATGCAAAATGTTCCTCTGCCAAACTGTACATATATATTTAACAAGTGAAATCAGATTAAAGCTGAAAAGCAGGCTTGTTTGCATGGTGCTATCTCAGGCTGGCACCCGCTGCAGCTGATTTTTAAAGTGTTCTCCTTTCAATGTTGTTCTCTTACAGAACACCTAGAAAATCCTATATATCTTCATCTCCTCCATTTGTTCTGGGTCACAGAGAGATTCTTGCTTGAGCAAATGGTATGACCAACTGCTCTGACTGGCAAAGAGCACATTCAAGAGAGGGAGACTAACGCAGCTGGCACACAAGATAGTTCAACATTTAATTTGCAGGCTGTCTATTCTGTCACTGATCTTTCTGAGTGCATATACTCTTCTCAGGAGGGGTAAGGACAGCCTTATTGCTTAACATATTACATTGTTATGTCATCGTCATCCTGCCTTATTTTTCAGTGATTAATGCAATTACAATTTCTGAAATTTATTCTAACTTCTTCGCAATGTTGAAACTAAGGGACCTGTTGCTGACTGAGCTTCTTGTTCCGTGGAACTACCATTCTTACACACACACACAGACTTATGTTTTATCTCTACAGTCCATGAAGATGTTAATTTTACTATTTTGGCATACTGAATTTTCTAAAAAAAAACTGACCGATTTTTGGTCAAAGGCTATTCTTGATGGTTGTCAGAAGATCAGTGATCTCTCTTGGTCTTTACTTCTTCTTTAATGAAATAATTCAGTTAAAATGCAGGAAGGGAAGTAGTATGAGTGTGCAGTATCTATCAGATCTTCATTGTTGGTGCATTTAATGTCTTACGCATTCACACATAGTGTGTATCATATATACATCATAGATATATATCATAGAATTTTTAGGGTTGGAAAAGATTTAGTCTTACTGTCAGCCCATTACCACCATGTGCACTAACCACATCCCTCAGTGCCACATCTACACGGCTGTTGAACAGCACTGGGGATAGTGATTCCACCATCTCCCTAGGTAGCCTCTTCCGATGCCTCACCACTCTTGCTGAGAAGAAATTTTTCCTAATATCCAACCTGACCCCCTCTCCCCCGGCACAACTTGAGACCATTCCCTCTCATTTCTGTTGCTAATCATCATAATCAATATATCAATGTACTGAAAAACATACAGCATTTGAGCAATGTTGTGTTGATCACCTTTCCACAGAAGCACTTCTGTTGTACTAACAGCAGACCTCTCTTGTGCCATCAGTGTGTCAGGAAACAGTCTGGGAGGTCTTCAAGACATTCTGGGATAGACTGCCAGAGCGTGAAGAGTATCACACCTGGATGAGCCTGTGTGAGGAAGGAACAATGAGCATTTTTGAAATGGGCATGAACTTCAGTCAATCCGAGGAGCACCGAAGTCTGATTGTGAAGGTGAGTGCAGCACCAGGTCAGAGTTTTCTCCTAAGCAAGGTTATAATATTCCACCACTAAAACCTGCTCAGTGTATGACAGGTGATAATATGTGTGGGCAGTTAAAATTTACAGGAATGAATATTTCCAGCTTTTGGATCCGTCGTTCAGAGATCAGGCTGTCTTAAAGCATATAGTGGTTTATAGATCTTTCTTTAAAAATTATAATTTCTCCTATCTTTGCAAGCTAGATGAAACATAAGAAAAATCTTAAAAGTCTGATCAGAATCAGTAATGTTAGGCTAGTCTGGACATGCTGTTGTTTTTACTTTCTGTTTTTTTGTGGACTTCTGTGCTGGTAATGTGCACTGAGGATGTGAGCGTGGAAATTACTGTGGTTAATGGGGGGAGAATTATCTGAGCCTTCACTGGATACTAGCCGAAGTTTGCTTCTGTGATGTCTTGTGGTACTGTTGTCGTTAGAAGACTTCACAAAAAGATGTGGACACTTAAACAGAACCAACAATTGGTTGACGTGTCGGGCTCAAAGTATCAAATTAAATGGGGCTACATCAAGCTGGTGGCCAGTTACTATGTGGGGCTCCCCAGGGCTCAATTTTGAAGGGAACTGGCCCTGATCTTTTTATCAATGACTTGGATACATGGATTGAGTAAATTCGTGGATTAGGAGGAGCTGTTGACTGCCTCAAATGTAGAGAGACCTTGCAGAGATCTTAACAAATCAGAGGGCTGGCCAATCACCAGCTGCATGAAGTTTAACAAGAGCAAGTACCGGATTCTGCATTTGGCTTGGGCAACCCTGGCTATATGTAAAGATTGAGGGGTGAGAGGCTGGAGAGGGACTGTCTCGCTTTGCTCTGCACAGTGCAACCTCACTTTGAGCACTGTGTGCAGTTGTGGGTGCCGCCGTGTAAGAAGAACATAAAACTACTACAGAGTGTCCAAAGGCAGGCTGTAAAGATGGGGAAGGATCTGGAAGTGGATGAACTGAGCTGATGGAACACCAATGTGTGCTAATATGTTTTATACAGAATATCACAAATCTATCAGATAACTTGAATACAAGAAACAAACAAACAAAAACCATCAGCACCTCAATTTATATTTCAGACAAACTGAAGGCGAGAGCACTCTGTCTCATCCTTCACCAGCCAGCTTCAAAAGGTCTCATGGTGTATTTTCTAATACACATAGCTCAGTGTGGATTTAATTGCTATTTCTAGTACTGAGCCACTCTTTCTCATACGTGCTTATGCACAACTTGCTTGTCAGAGGGTGAAACCTCTTCAAAGCAGCTCTGAGAATATTAAGTCCAGAGGCAGTGGTATCACTCTGCTTTTAAGAACATCCTTCCGCCTGCCAGTTGCTTGCTCCAGGTTAATGTGGTGGTAGCAGGTGGTGCCCAGCTCAGCCTGTGATACCAGGTGCATGTTTTAAAGCACTGTCCTGTTTTTTTTTGCCACATTCACCAGCTAAGTTGACCAAGCTGCATAGGAAAGCTTTTCCCTTACTCATGGGAATTTTGCTTCTCTCATTACAGCATATTCATTGATTTATTTAGTAAGCTGTGACCATATTTATTTATATTTATTCCTTACATTATATTCTATAAAACGTGTAGCACTTCTTACCTTTGGACTGCCATCATTTCACAGCAAGCACAATACCCTATAGCATTAAATGTGTGAACAGTCCACACACTCAGTTGCTTGAATGGAAGAATCACTCATGCATTGAGATGCAGAAAAGCAAAGTATGTGGTCAGTGTGAATACAACCTGTAAATTCTTTGTCTGGCCATTACATACCTCATTAAATAATCCTGACTTTTAATCTTCCTTTGCTCTCTTGTGTTTGTGAATCATCTGTAGTCAGCAGTTTAGCCTAGATCCTGGCCAAATATTTCTGCTTTTTTATTTTAGGTGTTATGCATTACTATGGCTATTACTGTCATAGCACTTAGATATTCTTTGAAAAATCTCAAAAGGAAGAAATGTCAACAAAAGTAACTATACATTTTCTGAGAGCCACAAAGCTTTTGCTGTGAGAGTTACACACTGCAGCCAAACCAATCATTTATGCCATTCATAGCAACAGCTACCGCAGAATACGATATCTCTTCTTGAGGTACCCATCTCAAAAATGGGCACATTTTTTTACTTTATAAACCATGGAAATAATACAACAGTTCTGGTGTGGCCAGTGGAAGTGTTTTGACACCTTCTTTCCTCCTTTTCTATTCTTTCTTAATCTGAAGATCTGTTAGGGCTCCTGTCAAGTTTTCGGATATTCACAAATCTTCCATAGAGGCATCTGCTGCTGACAGTGATTAGAAAGAAAAAGTCAAGCTAGGTGTACTGAAAGTCTTCAAATGACAAGTTTTTGTTTCCTTTTTTCTCCATCAATCTCTAGCATGTACAGAAAGATAAGTACAAGGAATTTGCACAGACTATATCACAGGATGCTGCACTGAATCTTTAAGTGTGAAGCATCAAAATTAAAGGAGCTGAAGGTGTAAGAAGGGAAGGAGAGGAGGAAAAATGGTATTTTCAAGATGTTAAGAAAGATGTGAAGTCAAGCCCATCCCTGTGTCATTGACAGTTCTTTTTAAAAGCAAAAACAAAATCACAACATTCAGAATACACTGCAAACATTCAGCTTCTGTTGAATGATACTGGTTTGTACTTCTTAGCTTACTGCTACCTTGCAAATACTTTGATTGCTTATATTTTTAATGGAGCCTCAAGTGATTTCACATTGGGAATTTGATGCATGACTAATAGTATATATGGTACTTCAGCAAGAAACAATGACAAATCTTGTTATGAATATCCATGAATCCATAAATGTACTGCAATTACAAGTGGAAGAAAACTACACATTCTGGGGAAGAAAAAAATCTTTACCAACTAATTTCTATAAATGGATTAGGTCATGAATCTTTTCCAAAGGAAAGGACTTGACATTTGGATGATGAAGAGAGAAGGATTTGGGCTGTGCTGTCTTTGGTGGGGCTAAGAACAAAAAGTCTAGCCATAGAAAGGTGTTTGTAAGACAGCTTTGTCTGAGAACCAACAGGCAGATAGGAAAGCAAGGAATCTCCAAGCTAGTGACAGGAGACACCCACCAAAATTCAGTTCAGAAAGCTCTGGGCCAAGAAACAAAAGCTGTAGCTATGTTGACTCAGAAGCACACACATTTAGTATTGACCTTTCACAGTCTGTCAGTAGCTCTATCTCTTCTGGAGCATGGGCTAAATGCTTCTGGATGCCACAGCAAAATGCCTCTTTAGCATGCTGAAATGGGCACTGAGCAATGTCATCTGAGCTTGCCTGAATTCTGAATTTCTTAAAGTAGTGAGTCAGCGCCCCATTGCCACTGTTTATACACTCTCTCCTATTTTTAGCCTCTGATCATCTCATGCAGTAAGTGATTTTGTCTTCCTGTAATGCAGAAAGGCCTTTTCTCCTGTCCATCTTCAGCCTATCCTGTATTCTTCCTTGCCAACATGTCTTTCTCTGTTTAATCTGATGTCTTCATTACAGCTTTCAGTATATTTTGATAGCTGGCTAAGATAAATTTACATTTTTTCCTTGATATAAAGTATAAGTTCTCTTGCAGATCTCTTCTGCACTTTCAGCACCTTCACTTTCTCTCTTTGCCTGCTTAAGGATACAAAAAACTTTCTTCCATTGCCCTCCGTTGAGCCATTATTTTAGATATTCTTTATTTTCTTTCTTATCCCCTCACGTACTGTTTTCCTGTCCTTCTATTGACTTTGGCTCTTTTTGTACTGCAAGTCTTACACTTCTCTAATTTCAAAACAAAACAAAGAAACTGACACATTCAGAAAATGTCACCAGATGTTCAAATCAATTAACTCCAGTTGCTTCTCCAAGTCTTACTTCATCTCCCTTTCATCTCTTCAGCTCCTTCTGTGTGGATTCTCTCTCTGGTCATTCTCCTCTAGTTCCAGCCTGAATCTTCCTTTTTAATCTCCCTTGACTGCAGACAGAGGACAGAACTTGTCAGCCATGAGACCTCTGCTTACATCTTCCAGGCAGAGCTCAGAGTCAATACTTCATCCTCATTGTCCTTGTCTGAGCAGCTCCTTTACCTGGCAAATCTGCAGTTGTTCTTTGTTTTCTCTGTTTCGCATCTCATTTCTAGACAGCACTGCCTAAGGCATACCGAAGAATCATTTCTGTTATGAGTGTTCACCTCAGCTTTGGAGTTGATTCCTCCTGGACAGACTGGACCTTCAGCTAATTTCTAACATTATACCATGGATCTCTAGCTTTTGCTTCAAGTTGGATATGCCTGAAACATTTTCATTTCCACCATATTTCTCTGCTTTCTCTCCTTTTGCTCAGTGTAGACCGTTTTGCATGTCAACTGTCAGAACATTGCTAACCATCGTGGCCTTTCCCACCAGCTTCCATTCTAGATTTTGTCATCCTTCCTCTTGAATTCTCCCAGTGCCTCAGCCTTGTCCCTGTGATAGGATGGTTCTGTAACACACTGTGGCGGGTGAGAGGACAGGCAAAGAAAGGGTGTTTTCTTGGTATGGCTTCCCTGTGTCAATAATGTGCACAGGTGAGTTGAATCAAACAAAAGTGGTACAATCCTACACAGATGGGATTAAACTAACATGAGATTACTGAAGATCTTTTTGATGTTCCCTCCACCTTTTTCTCCTGCCTGGAATTATCTCAGAAAAGATATTTTGTCTTCTGTGAATCAGGATTGTCTCTTAGGATCAGGCAAAGGTATCCCATATAACTGCTTTTCAGCAGTTCATGAGTTGAGAGAAGCTCATCCATCTGGTCAGTACTATGTGTGATTTAGAGTTGGTGGTAGCCTGTGTTTAATGCCATGGACTCATAGCAATTTTTGATGGTTTTGGATTATATAAAACTAACTGCAGGCTCTTGAGAGGGTAAGCACCAGTGCAACTGACAAAAATTGTAATTCCTAGCTTTGGAAGAGCTGGTATGATAATGTTAGGAGATGCCAGAGGCAGCTCCACTGAGTGAAGCCTTTCCCTGGAGTTACGGTGTGGCTACTGCTGCTGTGTGTAACTATTTGTAGATAACTTCAAGTTTTCAGTGGGTAAAGATATTAATCCCTGCAGGTTCCTTTGCGGTAGATAGGAACATGTTTATAACTCCCATCTTGCATGTAATGGAACTGAGTCAGACAGGAGAGGTGATTTGGCCTGGGCTATTCTGTACTGAGAAACTAAGCCAGAAGTAGAACTTTAGAGCTCCATACTTCTCATTAGAGGGAAAAGGTTCCTGTTTGCCATTAAATCCAAGTTTATGTCCTCACCCCAGACTGGAATGTAAATTTCTCATATAAAGGAGCAGAAAGCAATCACTACAAAGTGTTGCAGACTGTGCCAGCTTAGCCATAGGGAGATGCTTCATTTCCACATTCCCAGTTGGAAAATCAGAAAAACAACAAAAAACCCAACCCAAACATTTAATATTACTCAAAAACAAGTCTTGTATTTCAGAATGAATATTGAGATCATCCTTTCTTTTTGAATTTAGTGCAAAATGTCAGATTTTAAGTGTGACATAAAGCTGCAAGATGCCAATAATCTCTCTGCAAACTTTGCATTGGTTTTGAGGGATGCTTGATATTTTATTGGCCAATCCATTTATAATTTACGTTTAAAGTATGCACTTCTTCAAAACTTACTTAATTGCACAAAAAATGTGGTCTATCATGAAGAGAGAATATTCTGTTCTGAAGTGGTTGGATTGAGTTGAATTGAGTTGAGTTGAATTGAGTGGTTAAATTGAATTATCCAGCTACCCCATGAAGAGACCATCATTCCATACATGTAGTATTAGGTTTCGCTAGTTTACTACAAAACTGGACAAAGACTGAGCGATTTGATACCTTTTTAAAATGGAGATATGGAGACAAGGTCTGTCATGTTTGTTATGTTTGTCACAGAATCATAGAACTGCGGGGGTTGGAAGGGTCCTCTAGAGGTCACTGAGTCCAACCCCACTGCTAAAGCAGGTTGCCTACATCCTGTGCATCCTACAGGCTGTACCTGTGCAGGCTGCACAGCAAAGTGTCCGGACAGGGCTAGAATATCTCCAGAGGAGACTCCGCCATCTCTCTGGCAGCCTGTGCCACTGTTCCGTCACTTTCACAGTACAGAAGTCCTTCCCAGTGTTTGTATGGAACTTCCTGAGTTCCAGATGCACTGTTGCTCCGTGTCCTGCCACTGGACACCAATGAAAAAAGCCTGGCCCCATTCTAGGCGTTGGCCGTCAGAATAGTAATTAGGCCTTTCATGCTTCATCAGTCCTTCTTGTGGTTTATCAAACAGAATATTTTGCAATAGCAAGATATATTAGGTAGAACTTGTGACTTGAGTGTAGGAAAGCATGATGCCACCAGTTCTTTGGGGCACAGAGTGGGCCCAGAGAACCTCTTGCGGAGAGCAGGAAGTGCTCAGCAAAATGATCAGGGTTATACTGACCTCTGCTGCCAAAGGCCTTTGTGGCTGGGCAAGCAAAGCTGTAGGGCACATACCATTCAGAGGCAGGCATTGCCACTGTGCTTAGGACAGTGTGGTTTTAAATCAGTAGACAAGTCGCCAAAATAATGCATTTCTTAAGACGTCTTGCTGGTAAATATCTAATTCCTAGTTTACAGAGCAGCGAGAGATCATTGCTCCTGCAGGAAAAGACAGAAAAGCAGAGCATCTTTTTACACACCTGGTGCTCTTACAGTCTCTGCTGCTGAGTTTCAGTTGTATTTTAGAAATATACTATGCGTTTTATTTTCAGTGAAGGCTTTGTTAATAAATTCTGAAGTTAACAAATGAACATGAAATAAATGAAATAATTGTTTTTGTATTGGAAAGATACATGAAGTGCATTTGAGCTTCTTCCCCCCTTATGATTCAAATATAAATGGGGTTTGTTTGTTTATTTTCCAGAAACTGTCCTATACAAAGGAAGCAATGGCTGGGTGAGTACATTTAAATGTTAAAATTTAAATTTTACTTTGCATTTCAATCTGTCTGGAGGTAAGAGCAGGGTTGAGTTGTGACATTTTGTGATGTTTTCTCTTTTATCTTTTTCTTGTCAGCTCCTGCACTGACTGGTCATGCGGGTAAGTCATTTTCCCTTTTTAAATAGCCTCTTGCTTAGTCCTTTCTCCTGTTCTTGCTGCTGGAGTTGATGACTGGAAGATATACAGAGTTCGCCTCTGTGCAAAAAGGCTTATAGAAAAGTATGCCATGTGGTGGAGAAATCCTGTGCTTCTTGCATGTAGCCTCTCACAGGCTGTCCTAGCATGCTTGGTGTGCTGAAAATATCCCAGCCAACCTGGGGCTTGCACTTTTGCTTAAGTATGTCATCACCTCATTGCCAGTCAGACACGCAGGCAGGCTGTTGACCTGGAGAGGTTTAGTGGGGGAAATCTATTTTGGGAGAGTTGTATCCCCAGTTGCTTTGTGTCAGTGTTCTGGCAGTCTTGTGAACCTTTTTCAAAACTAGACCTGGTCATCAGTATTAAGAAAAAAAAAAGAAAGAAAAAAAAAAGAATACTTCTGAAATGCTTTTCCAGAAAATGTTAGAGATGTGTTACAGGCTCCTCACACTCTTCAAAAGGAAATCAAAATGAAAACTTGTCTGAATTCTGACTTCTTTTTTACCAAAGCGAACCTAAACTTGAGCTATTATTTTCTTTTTTTTTTTTTTTTTTGAAATGGAAGGAAAAACAGTTCAAATTATTACTACCCCATTCTCCTAAAATGTAATCTAAAACTGTTATTTTTAGAACAATTCAAACCCAAACAACTTTGTGCTGAACTCCTCTGAAAACTTAGCAGATTCAATCCCCAGCCATGTTACAGCTATGATAAATGAGTAATTCATTTACAGGAGAGTGTTCACTTAACAGGTTAAAATGAACAAACAGCACACCAAAAAACCCTCCCAACACTTAATGCAGTATTCCTATATTTCATAACCACAGTATTACATATTAAAATTAATAAAGTGAAATGCTAAGGGCAAAGGTGATGCCTAAGAGGTTGGTTTTATTTTCTCTTTCCTTCTGAACTTTCCTCTGACATGAGCACTCTTCTTAGCTCCTAAGTCAATTGAGTAGTGTAAATCCATACAAAACGTAACATTGACCAAACTTTTTTTGTGCTTTTATTTTCAAAGAAAAAATAACAAAAATCAGGTGGATTTGCTCTGGATAATGAAGCATCAGAAAGAAATAAACGTAATTTAGTTTGACAATATTAGAAAAGTATCTCATTCTAAGAGCATTCTGGGTACCTCTACACTAGAAGGTTTAAGATGCAAAGTTTAAGCCAAGATCACACGAAAACAAAGCCACAATTGGCATGCCATAGGTGGACAATGTCTCATCTAAATTCAAACATCTTCCATCAAGAAGAATGAGGGAGATACTTCAGTATTGCCACCAGACAATGTTCTTTCCTGCAAGAACATGCTAGACTTTCCAGTAGACATCAGAATAAATGGAAGACCCTTTTTAAAATTTTCTTTAAGAAGCCAGAGTACACAACTCAGGATCACCCAGTCCTTAAGGGATGGTATGAGAAATCCAGCATCAAGTTCTTCCTGCAAAGGAAGAAATGTGAGTACAGTTCTGCCATTTCCTGGGCAGTGCTGTACTCACCCATGAGCTTTTCTGCAGCAGGTTTCACTGGGGCTGACCTACATGTTCAGGACCTAGTGATCCTGTAGATACATGTTTAGTGTGGGGCAATACAGTGAATTGAATGTAGCTGTTTTACCACTTGGCTGTGATATCTCTGTTGGAACAGGGAATTGACCTGGCCTCATGTCTCAAGAGATGGAGGGAGTATTCTAAAGCACCAGCTGTAGATATCTAAAGGAGATGTTTAAATGTGGCTCCTCTATTGCCAGAAGACAAGGTTCTCCCCAAGATGTCTTGAAGCAGGAGTGTGCTTTCATCTATCCCCTGGTGAACCTCATTTTCTTTGGTTACTGCACAGAAGCAATTATTTTAGTTCAGAGGCCAGGCATTAGGTGTATTTCTCAGTCTATTTTTCCCATCAGTAAGAGCATAGGAATTATCAGTAGGTTTGTTTTCTTTTCTAGAGCATAGGCCATGCACAAGAAACTGAAAAGTGTCATGTTGTTTCTTTTTTGTTTGTTTTAGTGAGCTTTGAGTATTTTTTCCCTGTGAGACAATTGCAGTTTCATTTCCCCAATTCAGAGCTGATCTGGAGATGAAGACAGATCCTTGATATCTGGTATTTTAACTGCATTACCTTTCTAAATTAAAGTATGACTGTGATGAAATCTATAAGCAACTGAAGAATTGAAGCTGTGATTTAGAACATTTAATATGCTCGATACACTCCTACCTATTTATCAATACTGTGATTTATCTAGTTCGAAAATGCTCGTTTCAGCTAGTTAAATGCTAAAATAGTTTTGATGTAGCTTACAGAAAGGTGGCTTGCACTTGTGATTTATTGCCCAGAATAACTCACAATCCAGCATTACTGGCAATTACATAACAGCCGGATGAAAGTTGTTCCAGTAAGACTCACTCATGCACGTAGGTTAAACACCGTGCTAGCCTGGCTTTTTAAGAAGTTGAGGGATTAAACTAAGTACTATGGAAGAGAAAACCTCAAAGGAAAAGCAATATAGGGGAAACAATCTAGATTTTTTATAATATACATTGGAGCTTTTCTTAGGCTGGAAGTGTGGGAAACATCAGCCACAGGCTTTTAATGACTTCTTTATTCATTAGGCCATTGTGACTTTGCATAATGAATTTTGCTCTTTTCATACTGGAGGATACCACATGAAAATAGGACAGTTGTCCTGTCTAGTTCCTGGTGGGTCAAAAAACAGATTTTGAGAACCAACTGAAGGTAAAGAAGTAGCACAAAAATTCTGTGGTAGGAAGCCATTGCTTGTATGTCATAACTTTTCTCAAATGCTATATGCGTTACAGCGTCCTGAAGGAAACATAAGGAGTACGGAATAGTTGGGAAGGATGAATATAACAACGTGCTATTCTTTACTTTTTCTCAACCACTTATTAATGTCAAATATAGTGAAATAAGTAGAAACGTTTGTTTCTTTCTGACTGTGGACTCACTGAAATTAGGCATAAAGAATCATGTCCGGATCTCCTCTGTTCTGTCTATGTACTCTGATGTGAATACATTGGCAAATTTAGGATCCATATTTCATTGGTGCTAGCAGCAATGGTTGATGATGTATCAACTCAAATTTTGTACCTTTACTGTAATCATGCCTAATGAAAGAAAAGAGGTTGTCTTCTATTCTGGGATCATTTCAACAGTACATGAAGTCTGCCTGCAGTGGTGTAGAAACATACCTGAACTCCTTTTTTGCCTCCATTTGAAGCAACAATTTTGCTTGTTTCAGAAGTTATTGAGCATCTGCTCAGCTTTACCCCATGTGAAGAGTTCCAGGCTGTTCCTTGGTAGTTGTGTATTATCTTTTGTTCTCTCTGCTGTCAGATAACACATATGAAAGATTTGTCCTGCTTTAATTAAAAATAAAAGAGTTCAAAATTCAAAATCTTCCTACATAAACAGTAAGATGAATGGAAGTAGAATTAAAAAAAAAAAATCTAAATGCAAGGCTCAGTCTTGAATTCTGTACTTGGACAAAATATTTCAGAAATTGCGAGCTTATTTAACTCCATTAGTTACACCTTTGCTTAAAAGGTTTTAAAAGAAGAAAATCAGCCCATAAACGTATTTTTTTTCTTCCCTTTGAGAAAGGCTTTTAAATATGAGCACTGACACAATCATGTTTAAGAAATGCTTGACAGAACAAATTAGACTTTGATACATTCAAATTGGTACATGAGCTGATGAATATCAAAAACTTGTAGTAGAGATCTGGAAGCAAAGTTGCGCAGAAAGTGATCACAGCACTGTTTCTTAAAGCAGCATTTTTATCCTCCTAAGAAGAAATTGATAGCTGTTAATGCGACCAAATTCAGTTATTGACTGGTCTTTCTTGATTAGATTGATTAGGGCTACACAAGGCTTTATTTAAACCTTGGCTTTTAATTTTCAGCCTAGTGTGAGGTAAAATTTTATCAGAAAACCAGCTGTGCTTCAGCAACCTGTATTTAAAAAGTTGAAGGAGGAGGACTAATGCTTCATGTGGGGCAGGGGTTCCCTCAAGCTCATGGAGGACTCAAATGGGAGGAGGTAGATGTGTCCTCAGGAGCTGCAGCCCCTGGAGAGCCAGTAGAAGAGTGAGGAAAGAGGAGTCCCCTGGAGTCTCCTGCAGCCCCTGGAGAGCCAAGTAGAGGAGTCAGGAAAGGAGGAGTGAAATTGGGCCTGGGAAGGGATGGGGGGAACAATGGTGTTTTAATGTTTATCTGTTCCTCGCTACACAAATCTATTTTCATGAGCAATAAACTAACTTAATCTCAGTCTGTTTTGCTTGTGATGGCAATTGGTAAGCATTCTTCCTGTCTTTATCTCAAATCACCAACTTTCTCATCTTATTGTCTCCTCTGGCCTTGGTGAGGAGAGGGCGGGGGGTCAGAGAGCAGATGGGTGGCATCTGACCCTTAGTCAGGCCTAACACTGCACAAAGTTAGGTGCTCAGTTGGATTGGTTCAGTAGCCATTTGGGTTTTTGTGAGATGTCCCAAGCTACAGCACACACCTGCAGAGAGCTGGCAGGTATGGTGTAGGTGAAATCTGTGGGTGATTTGGCCAGAAAAGCCTTAAGGACCTTGTATGAAGTACAGATGTGTGGGCAGTGAAAGAGAATACTGCAGGTCTCAGGTTGAACTTTGAACCTGGTTAGTCAGCAAGCCACAGTTCTGTCTGACCTCTTCTGAGTAAAAGGGGTTGATATGAGACTTAGCTGATGTGTTTATATGAGTTTGAACACTTCAGCACAGCAGAATATTACAAGTCCTGTAGCAGAGGTGTTTCACTACACATCACTGAGTTTTTTGGTTTGGAAGGAACCTTAAAAATCATCCTATTTGACCTCTTGGTGAAGGGCAAGGGCATCTTTCACTAGTAAGATTTGTCTTTCCGCCCTTGGGAATCATTCCAATATATACTGAGGCTGCCAAAGAGCGGGAAGAGAGTTACCTTGTTCTGAGCTGGCTGAAAGCAGGTAGCAGTGTCCACGAGATGGAAGCAGACACAAATTCTTGCGTGCATCTCAAAGCTTGTGTAGAGCTTATAGGCTTTAGTTGTTCAAGAAAATGAAGCTACAGTTTATATTCTTGAATCTGTGTTTTCTGCTTTGCTCATCTGGAGGTTATTCTGTTTATTGTTCATATTTTATGATTGTTAAGTAGGTTTCATTTTGGCAGCTTAATTAATTTCCTGAACTTACTGTAGTGTGGCATTTAGTCGTTATGCACAAGATTAAGGCTATGCCTCCCAGGAGAGGATGGGTGAAAATGTTATTGGTCTAAATAGAAAATTCACCAGATTAATCTTACAGTCTGTTTATTGGTAAGTGTTGAATGTTTATGAGAAGTAAGGGAAGAAGCAATGTTTGAGATTTTAGTTAATGGAAACTGTCACATTTTATCATATGCCTGTGCCCAGGCATCTCAGTATGCAACTTTGGATATGTTTGGCTGGTACTGGAATTGTTTTTTGGGAGAGAGATAGAGAGACTGGTTATAAATCCTGAAGAAGGCAAAATATCCATCAACCGTGGTTTGAGTTTTGTTTGAGTAAAGCCTGCAGGATCAATAATCTAGTATGTGAATCAAAAATCAGACCTAGCAAGGCTAGAAAAGCATGGCTCAGTAGTAAAATAAGCACTTGTGTATGGTACAGTGAAGACTCATTGCCTCAGTATTTACTTTATGGCACAAAAATGTCCACCAATAAAAATGAGTTCCTTTGGAAATGGGACAAATATCTTAAAACAATGAACTTCACTGATCTTTAGAGCTCTTACTTTAGTGTTCAAATGCTCTGCAGCACTTAAGTTTCCAATCTTACAAATTTGTAACTCTGTATTAAAATATGTGACAAACTTAAAGAATCAGTTTCTCTTCATTCAGGAAACACTTTTTTCTATCAATCTCTCTCTCACTTTTGGTAACTTGACAATTGCTCAGGCTCACTGAATTGGCTCCAAGGAATTTGGATTTACTCTTAGAGCAGTGTTAAAGCTGTTGTTTTTTTTTCTCAGACAGACTGTCTTCGCAGTCTTCATCTGATTTTTATTTGAAATACTTTTCTTCTTCATATTTTGGCCTCGAGCTGGGAGTTGGTGGGTGTTTTTTGGTGGTTTTTTTTTTTTTTTTTTTTTGGTGTGTGTGTGTAAACGTAGTAACTGAATTTGGAAGCTGGTACTTTTGAATGATGAGTATCTGCAGATGAGTAAAATTTATGATCAGATGGCCCCATCTTCTTGCAGTTATCTCAGTACAGCTAGGATGCTTTGGTGCACTGCAGATCATTTTTAAAATGGAAGTTTTTATAGGACATTACAGATATCTTTGTGTGGTCTTCACTTTTACTTCATAATAGAATCATAGAATCATAGAATCACTAAGGTTGGAAAAGACCTAAAAGATCACCCAGTCCAACCGTTCACCTATTCCCAATAGCTCCTACTAAACCATGTCCCTCAACGCAACATCCAGTCTTTCCTTGAACACCCCCAGGGTCGGTGATTCCACCACCTCTCTGGGCAGTCCATTCCAGTGCCTGACCACCCTTTCTGAAAAGTAATACTTCCTCATGTCCAGCCTGAATCTCCTCTGCCGTAGCTTGAAACCATTCCCCCTGGTCCTATCACTAATGACACGAGAGAAGAGGCCGACCCCCAGCTCACTACAACCTCCCTTCAGGAAGTTATAGAGAGCAATAAGGTCTCCCCTGAGCCTCCTCTTCTCCAGGCTGAACATTCCCAGCTCCTTCAGCCTCTCCTCATATGGCCTGTGTTCCAGACCCCTCACCAGCTTTGTTGCCCTTCTTTGAACACGTTCCAGGGCCTCAATATCTTTCTTGCAGTGAGGGGCCCAAAACTGGACACAGTACTCCAGGTGCGGCCTCACGAGTGCTGAATATAGGGGAACAAGTGCTGAATATAGGGGAACACTAGAGGGCCAAATGCATTTTTTTTGTGGTGGATTTCAGTTGAAACAAAAGAATTTTGCAACCCCAGAGATGCAAATGATGCATTGTGTGTTGCAAGATAATATCTTACACAAGTGACCTGATATCTAAGTTGCAGAAGATAAAAATTAAGCTTTGCAATATTCCAGTTATGAAGTTACCAGCAAAACACCACCATGAGAAGTTTCTTTTGCAAACATGCTTTTTGGTGCTGAAGCAGAATTACAGAGAGAACAAAAACTGGTTGATCTGTCTCGCTACTCCCAACTTCAACTTCTGGTCTTGTTTTTATTTAACAGTGGAACTCCAACTCCAGCTTCAGATGCTGATGTTACCACATTGAGAGGTCAGTTTTCATCTAAATCTTGTCACAGCTGTTTCTGAATTACTTGGAAATGGAGCAATGTCTTGTGGATTTGTGAAAAAGTTGTGAATTTTTCCACCTCCAAACGGTGCTGGTTCTGTTCTGGTGTTCAGGGTGTGTGCTGACATTATTTTGTTACTAAATGAATTGAGAAAAATCCAACTTGAGAGATCAGTCCTGGGCAGTTTTTACTGCACTTACATTGTGTTCTTAAAAATACTGCGCTGCTTAGATAGCACATTAGCATTTAATTCTGATTAGCATATTTGATACTTTTCCTGAGGCTCTTCAGGTGTTTCCTGTGTTGTTTTTCTCATGATGATGGAAATAGGAATCAAGTGTTACTACTTATGATTGCTAAGCTCATGGGTGTATCTACACGTACATGAGCAAAAATAACAATACTGCTCTTTCAAATTCAGATGCAGCTGCCAATGTTCCTCCTCCTCATGAGGTCTCAATTGAGAGTCCTCCAGGTGGTACCAGCCAAGAGATGGAAGATGCAGACACTACTGTGAGTATTCTTCTTTCTTCTTCTTCTTCTTTTTTTTTTTTTTTTTCATTTGGTTTAGCATTCTCTTGCCTTTGCTAAAGACCACAGTGACCATTTCTATTTTCTAGTACATGAAGATGTTTTAAGCATAAATAAAGAATTCATAAAAACCAGGAATGAACCTCAGAAACTTTTACATAACTTTCTGTGAAGGTATTATTCCATTTGCAGTGGTTTTGCAGTGTGCCTTCTCCATCTGTGTGAGAGAACAGATGAGCTATCAAGTGAAGATTTTGCTGGTGACTAAACAGGACTAGTTAATGGATGCTTATGGACTTTGAAAGCTCTGAGAAGGATTGTTGTTATTCCTATGGGAACATGATACACATTAAATTGCTGTCCTAGTGTTTGAAATGTCCAAGTAGTACAGTTACTTAGGACAGCAGAGATAGCCTGGGTAGCCTTGAAGATGCCTTCTAATTCTCCATTCCTTTTCCTCTCCTGCCAAAAGTGAATTTTTATTTATTGTTTTAGAGTCACGCTTACCTTGGTATCTAAGACACGACTCCCAACACAGGGAAGCCTACAGCAAGTACATTAAATGTCTCTGTAGAAGTAAGCTGGCTTTCACAAGTGCTGATCACCAGACAGGTCCTGGGGAAGTGTTTGCTTCCAGAAAACAGATCCTCTGGATTAAAATTTAAGCCCAAACTCTAGATTCTAAATGCACTGTGCTTGAGCTTACCTGACCACCAAAGAAAATTTTGCAAACCAGCCATATGAATCAGCTGGCACTTGTTTTCATATAAATGTGAAACTCTCACTGGATTTACTGAGAAGCATACCAAGTTACACGTGCTGCATATAATTGGAAGCTGATTTATGGTACTGGGCTTTAACTGTGCACCATTCAGTAACCTAGTATGGCTGAGAAACAATGCTGGGCCAAATTCCAGACTTTCTCTAGAGCTTTCACATGTGTCTGCTGAGCTCTGATATTGTGATTCCAGGAATAAACACTGAGTATGAAATAGACAGATAGCTTCTGACTCTGGTCCAGGGGCTGATTTTATATTTATATACCATGGGACACACTTGTGGTTTAGTCCCATGTACACCATTATTTTTTTCTGAAACAGAACTACCTGAGCAGAGTGTAAGACCACTCAGTAAATCAGAAAGAAATCAGAATTGGATTGCTGCTGCTACAGTGTTTGCACTCTCTACAGTTACCTCTCACCTCATCATTGCTCTGAGCAGCCAAAATGCATTGCAGATTACAAGACCAAGAGTGAGCAAAGCTCATCTTCATGAGCGTGCTTTTGTTTTGGGGGGACTGATAAATGATTCAGATTACATGGAGTTGCAAACAGTCATGTAGCAGCAGAACATGTGCAAACTAAGTGTGTATTTGTGAAATAATAGCTGGCTTTAAGCAGTGTGCCAATCGTTCTGGTTCTTAACGAAGTTATTTAGTCAAAAAGGTGTGAAGGGGTGGGTGGGGGAAGAGAATTTAAGTAAAAAATCTGGGAGGGCCCTAAACAATATACAAGTGCTCACTGGTGGCAGCCATGCTTTCTGGAACTGTTCCATTCCCTGCACCATACGTAGCTGCAGTTTTGCTGAAAATGTCAGCTTTGCTGGCTCATTTTTAACTTTTTAATAGGGAAAAGGCAACTGCCACATGTAAATAGCAAAATACATTTTAGCCGATTTAAGCCAACCTCCCCCTCAATCCCCCAAATTCCAGACTTTTGTTCTAGAATAGAACCATGAAGCAAGATCTGTTTTCCTTGACATTCAATATACCACAGGAAATAGTATGCTGGTTGTAAAATAGCGGGGAATGAAATAGAAATGGCTCTTCCCATGTTGCTCCTTGATTCAAGCTAGATGAAAATTTGACTGGAATTCACTGCTGCCCACAGCAGCTATGTTAGTTCCTGAAGCCAAATTATTGCACAGGGTATCTGTACACACTGTGCATGTAAAATGTAGAACTTGGCAAAGGTAAATTGTCTTCTAAGTGAAAAAGTAAACAGGAGCCTTGTGATAAATGGGTAAATCAGCCCATTGCTGATTAGGCTCAGGTGACCCCTTGGTGCATCCACAGTTGCACTTCAGACTGGCTCTGCTGGGCTTCTGTTTGTAACTCAGGTCAATGACACAACTTTGCATAGAGCAAAGATGTGCAAATGGAAAATAGACGTAATGGCAATACACAGTACTAAAAACGTTCTGACTCATTAGGTTGTCTTATTACCTTTCACTTTGTCCCTGAGACTTTCTTGCACTCCTTTGTACCGTATGACATAAGGTGTGCTGATGGCTCAAGTCAGCATACTGTTCTTTGGCCTGCAGCTTCCATATCATTAAGTATATTCATCATGCCATCTGTTTGGCCCACCAGTATTGCCCTGATATGTTCCTGTCCTTACAGCATTTATGAAGAGGTCTTTTTTTTTTTGCTACATCATGGGCCAGAGAACCCTTCAGGTCTGTAGAATTTTCTGGCCCTCACAAAAAAAAAAAAAAGACGTTTGGACCCAGGCTGAGCAATGCAGTGTGCTGACAGCTGGCAGGGCCACATGTACGTGCTGCCATATCTGGGGATGCTTTCCATGTGGAGTGAATCCAGGATAAGTAGGAATCTGGTCTGCAGCGGGTACAGGGGATTTATTTCTTGGGAAAAAAGCCACAGTCAAATGGGAAAATAAAAAGCACTATATCACCTTTTGCTTTCTCCCTTCTCTCCTTTCCTTCCAGATCAATAATGAGATAAAGAAGGAGGATGAGACTCCAGTGAGACCTGTAACTGAGCAGATGATTGAGTTCAGCATTGTGATTGCTGGAGAGAAGTACAGCGAGGAGTTGAGCGACCCAGACACTGCAAAGTATCAGCTACTCTCTGAACAATTTGTTTCTCAGGTGATTTACTTTCCCCGAGTTCTTTTTCTTCTTGCTGACTCTTGCAGAGCAGTAGTAGCACATAGCATCTGTATTAGGATTGCTCTGCAGAACCAGCTTAGGGCTTTTGTTGCCTGAGGCAAGCTGGAAAATATTCACTATGAGAATGCCCTGCTTTGTCTGACACGCTGCCTTTTTGAGGTTGTAGGTCAAACATCACAGGTAGCACATCAGTTGCATAACAGCGACTTCAGTTTTCTTACCTGTGTTTCTTATGAAATAACATGCTTTCATTTTTCCAAGCAAAAGAGGCAAAAGTAAGCTTCTGGGGAGATCATGCTGGACCCCTGTTACTCCAAACAGGAAGCTTTCTGAGACACTTCTTCCAACACACTCTTTGTTAGCAAAAAAAACTAAGCCAATTGTTATTGAGAAATGAAAGACAAACTTGCACTCTAATTCTTTTAAAGTCCTGTTTCTAACTTTGTCCTTGCCATCCTCAGAATTTTTAAGCAACTCTTCCTGTCAGTGTTACAATAGTAGAGCTTTTGAAGTCACACAGAAGTGACAAGATTCTATTTTGCCTCTTGACGCACCTTCGTTACTTCTTTAAGTAACTAACTTTTAAAGATATATTTAGATCATAGAATCATAGAATTTAACTAAATCTCTCTAGTGACCAGTCTCTCTGTAGAGAATTTATTTCAGATCTTGTTCAGGTTTGAATTCTTCCATCACATAGTTGATTTGAAACTAGGGAGTAAAAACACAGTTTGAGAGCGTTGGCAAACCAGACTGCCCATGCTCTCCAAATGACAGGATGTGAATTGTTTGCTGCTTGGAGCCATCAGCCTGTGCTGGGGCAGTGCTGGAAAGCAGCTCTAGTAATTCTGATACAACGCTGCAGCAGTATGAAGTGCAGGCAGAAGACAGACAGGTCCATCTGCATCTGCTCATGTGGGCATGTTCTGGGTGCTCTACAAAAGCTGAAGCCATAAATAGGATTTAGAAATTCTTAATGATTGCAGTGTCCAGATTTTTGATTGCAGAAGTGAGGTGGTAAGTGATGAACTAATGAACAACAGAATTCATGTTATTTCCACGTAGGAGCAGCAATGAGATGCTGTTTGAAATCTAGGCTGCTGAAAAATCTCTCGTTCTTCATTAATGTCCATAATCAGCAGTGCATACGGACACATATTTAAACCTTCAAACTTCAGAAATCTTCTTAAGCACATGCTTAAATCCCACTGGAGTCGCTGGAAATGAACTGTAGTTTAGACTCTTCGGCACAAACTTCAAAGAAAAAGACATATGTGCTTTTATATATACGTGTATATATATACACACATATAAAAATGCAAATAACCATATATCTATGTACATATATGAATGATTTATTGAACATTAACTTCAAGTTAATTTAATTTTGATTAAATTGAATGCTTTAATTTGTACACTACGTATAAAGTTACTGGCCCACCGACATGCAAAAAGATACTTAAAATACAATCTGCTACTGTCTCCCAAGTTACTTCTCCCTGCTGTTTTCATTATTTTATTTATTTACTTTACTTTTCATTTATAATGATGGCAATCTTCTTACCAACATTTTCTTGGGGCAGAGAGCTTGTCTTTCCTTTCTCCTGGGCGAAGCATCCAGGGTACTAAATGGTGGGATCATCTTTATTCTAGCTTTGTTTCCTTCTTAGTTTCATTTAGTGGGGGTTCTCTGTTGAATTCCTTTTACTGGGGAATTACTGGGCCAGATCCTGGGCCAGATGGGAAAGAGATGTACTCTTCAACTGCAGCCAGAAAGCATCACCACAACTGTCACAAGTTGCTAGCCTAGGCTAGACATCTTAATTTTCCTAGTTGTGTGGCCAAGTAGCAATGCCATGGAGTGTGTGTGTGGAAGAAATGTCAGATGGGACAGAGTCCACCTGGCACATGGATGTTCCGCTCCTTTGATCCCTCGCCTGGTTTTCTCTGTGCTTGGATGAAGAAGCTGTTTAAAAAACAAAAAGAAAAGAAAGTCAGCAGCACTTGGATTGTTTAAATCTCACCAGAGACTGTTTAAAAATAGGGAGAATAGGGAGGGGAAGAAGAATTTGAGGAGTAGAAAATAATTCTCAACTGGGAAGGATCTTTCGGGAGGAAAAATACCAAAGCCGGCATGAACCTGTAGTATTCTGTTTCTTGTTTTTGTCAACACAATTAACTATTGAATTGGGCCTGGACATGCTACCATTCTTCTGCTTTTGGTCTTCTTTCTTGAGTAGCACCACTAGTCACTCCTGAGCCCTCTGTATGTTTAGAGCAGCAGAGATGAGCCATACGTTGCACTATGTTTTGCACTTGGGCATCTTTGGAATCTGAGATCCCTGTACCTGCAGCAGCTGTCATTGCTTCCCTTGCTCTGGTTGCCAAGGTCTGAAGCGTTTTTCCTGAATTTATTTAAATCTGAGGAGATTTAGGAGGTAATGGAATTTTTGGGAGCAAAAAAGGGTTTGTGGTGCATAAATAAGATCATGAATGCCATCTTTGCAGATGTTGTGCAGGTCTCTGCAGGGTCTGTTTGAATTTTCTCCTCTTTTACTGTTTGTATACAATTCTTGGGGGATGCTAGATGGCATGCTTTATACTTTTGCTTTCCCTTTTGTAATAATAAAACAGCGACACCAAAACTCTCCTATAAAGAGCATATTTAACAATTTTTTTTTCCCTATTAGAAATAGAATCTCAGGTGCTTTTTTAGGATTTTATAAAATGTTGAAAATACTGTCTGATTTTTCGCTACAAGGAGTAGATGGAGGAAACTTGTGTTAATATTTTTTTTCCCTTCAAAATAGATCCAAAATGTATTTGAAGGACTGCCTGGATACAAAAACATCCATGTCATGGAATTCAGGTAAAAAGATACTGATGTGAATGTTCTGGTTGAGGCTCATCATGTCTGATGGTGCAATGCCCTAGCACCACACTTGGAAGAACATCAGTAAGAGGGAATTTGTAGGATGGGTTAATCAAAGGAAGAGTGCTTCCATAATGGTGTATGTGTGGAGAGGTCAAAATAGACGTACAGAATTGTATATAAATGCCTTTGTCTTTTTTCTGCTCCTCACCCACTAGAGAACCCACATGATATGTTTGCCTTCATTTTGAGGAAGGTATTAGAGAATCATACCTAAAATTTAAAGAGATGTTTTCTTATTTCAAATCAATATCTGATACTGTTGACATGTTCTAGTATTAAACAAGGAAGAACATGGAAATCTTTTCAGAAAATACACTGTGTTTAACTTTTCAACTTATTGATGTTAACTTGAGACGACTACAAAGGTTGGTGTTTGAAGTATGTAAAGGCTTTCTCCCTTTGATCAAAGCAAAGGCAGGTGAATGCTTTAACTCTCTTCAGTCTCATAAATACTTTTTAAAGGACTAGTTTTCTCAAGTTGATTTATGATTCAGAATTATACTTTAGGTTACTTTGGGGAAAAAAAAAAAGGGGGATCCTGTGTATTATATATCAAACATCTGATTTATGATTTTTGGTATATATGGATCACAAATTATGACTGAACTTGTAATTGATTGGATATGACTTTCAGAATCCAGTGAGGCTTTTTGTAAGTCAATCTAATTTGTGTTTTCTATGTGAAACTCTGTAAGCTGTATTCCTTAAAGTATTTCAGCCAAAAAATTCTAACCAGAATACTTCCAGATAACAAAACAGCTATAGTGAGGAAGTTTCTATGGTTGGAACGATATGGTTGGACAGTGTTCCAATAATACTGTCAAAAAAGGATGGCATAGCAATCAAATTATGAAATGCTTGAAGCAACAAGGCAGGAATGTTCCCTGTGGATTGATGAACTCCACTTTGTTGTGGCTGTGAGACAATAATTACCTGACTTGATGAGATTGATTCATAGATATGTAGTAATTATCCCTGCATCTGCAAGGAAAACAGAATGATAGAATGTCTTCAGCCCTCACTGGAGCCCAAAGGCAGGTTTGTCTTTTCTTCCTTTCACTTCTGGCTACACTCACAACAAGCTGGGGCAATGACATGGGAAAACCCTGCTTTAGCTCTGCCTGGGAGGTTAAGTCTTCCATCTCAGTGTTTGCAGTCTAATACATCTGCAAGCTCTTTCTTCATTTCAGAAGAAAAATAAAAGGTTGGTATTTCTGGCAGGGTACCAAAGCTGCTTTCTGTGCTCTGCTGTGCATGACAAGCAACGTGTTTGTGAACTACCTTTAGTTAGAGTTGGGGAGCCTTGTTTCTTGTTTTACTGGCAGGAATTTAACAGTGTTATTTGCACTACAGAGCAATGGTTCTGCTTTGATACCTTGTGATCAATAGGAAGCATCTCAATTCAGGAAAAGCAGAGGAGTTTATTGTGCAACTTTAAATCATTTTGCTGTATGGATTTTCAAATTTGTGTGCCCTGTAGAATACAAAAGCAAATTTGGTGAAGTTAGACTTTAAGGAAATAATAATACAGATTTAACAGGTTTTGCTATTGTTTTTTATTTCTCTATTCAGCTCTCCTGAGGAGGACAGGTAAAGAACACTTTTATACATATTTTTATTATACAGATGAGAAAGCATGTTAGCTGGAGGACAGTGTCTTGGGGATTTGCGGTTTTGGCTCCACCAAAATCACAAATTCAGCAAAAATACTGTGTGAGGGACTTCTACCAGAAACTACAAGTAACCAATCAGGTTTGATTACAAAAAAAACATAATTTGCTTATTTAAAGGCTGCTTATCAGAAACTGCTCGAGGAGAACCTTTTTAAACTAAGTCAGCTATTGGGCTGACTACAAAAGGGACCTCTTGGGAAGAAAATGGTATTACTTAATGACTATTCAAGGTCTTTCTAATTATCAGTAGTTAGTTAGATATAGGATGATTATTATAAGAGAAATTAAAATTAGCAAGAAAATCATAGTTATCCAACAAAGGCAGTTGACTTAGCATCTTCAAGGCCATAGTTGCTGCACATCTTAGCAGTAATCTTGCACTCATTTCTTAGCAGAATATGAGAACAGCATGGAATTGTTTTTTGGTAGACATATGCAAGTTAAGCATCCTAAATTTTCCTCTGATATTATTTGAGGAATTTCACAGACAGAGAAACAAACCACAACCTTTAAATTACTGGTTGTATTATTTACTTTTGTGTATTTCTCAGCAAAGCCATAGCCAGTTTTCACAAACTGTTCTACAGAGAATGAACATTTTAATTTTAGAAGAAAGGTACTGAGCAAATCTGTTCACAATCAATAGTGAGTAACAGCTATCCTCTATTACTCTGCATTTCTGCAGAATAAGATGCATGCAACAATTCAGAAAGATTGTGTTCAAAATACCAAACATGGCCTTTTCTAGACAGATGATGGTGTTATTAGTTAGCAATTATTAAATGCAGCAGGCAATTAATACAAGAGCAGAGTTGCATTAAAACTAAATGTTCTTTTTTTGCTAAAACACTGTATTCCATCTTCGCTTTGCCTTTTCACTACTGCAGTCCTTTTTCATTTCCTCTACTGACAGTCAGTACCCAGGGTGAGTCTACAATGGGCTCATTTCAGTAACAGCTCCAGCAGCAAAACTTCATCAGGCTCCTGGTTTTAGTCAGCGTTTGCTGATTATGTCTTTGTTGTGCCTGGCACTGGAGCTTTAGAGACATCCCTGAACCGAGCTGTTACTTTAGCAATACAGTCCAGCTCTGTGGAATGAGGGAAACCTGTCTTTGGAGCACGTTTTCCTAGCACTTCATAGATTACTTCACTCTTTTGCTGCGGTCTCTGTATGGCCAAAGTATGCTCTATTTTCTAAGGCTCTCTTGCACTTATGCTCAGTGTATGGTAAATCTGAACTCTATCTATCTCTGAATATCTATCTATCTGAATATCTATCTGAACTCTGTCATGTGGAAGAGGACATCCAGGTGTATTTGGGAGAGCACCAACAAGAAAATAGAAGAGAGTCAGTAATAAAGTGCTAAGATGTTCACAGATATGAAACTTTCATAAATGGCTTCAGTCAGAAGGGACCTTAAAGACCTTACCCATTTCCAATCCCCTCGGTAGGGTTGCCATTCACTAGATCAGGCTGTCCAGGGTCCCATCTTTGTTAAAGAACAATAATAAATGAGTTTAGAAAAGCTTTTCCGATTACAAAGTGCCATTAAATACCATCTAAGAGTGGCTAAAGGCATTATTATAATGCAGATTGACACTACTCAGTGACAGTGATCAGGGCTCTTTTCTTACTTCAGAGCCATTCTCATCATGACCTTAAAAACATCTTTCGCACCATTGCTGTGCTGCTGGGTCTACTGATATGCTGGCAGAGAGCCAATATTTTGTTCTCTTGATGGTCCCTCTAACATTCAGAAATAAAAACACAGGGCTGGGACCAGACCAGATGTCACGCTCTGGTAACCTTTTCCTTCAGAATTTATCAGTTGTAGAAAACATACAGGCAGATACAAATGTGAAACCAATTAAGTTAGTTTTAACTAGAATGCTTAAAAGCAGTATAATTTAATTTTTTTTTTCAAAGGCTGCTGACACAGGTTCTTTGAAAAAAAGTATTGCATTTGCTGTACTTGAAAAACCTTGCAGTTCTCAACAGTGTTCTTTCTTTTTGTAAAACCAAAGTGGGGTGGAAGTTCACTATGCTGTTACATTTGATGGAGAAGCCATCAGCAATGCCACTTGGGACCTGATTAACCTTCATTCCAACAAGGTGGAGGACAGCTCCTTTATGGGGATAGAAGATAATCCAACAGTTGTTTACACCATCAGCGATTTCCAAGATTATATTGCTGAAATTCTCCAGAAAAATGCCTTGCTTGAAAACACTTCTTTGACATTAGACCCTAACTCTCTCCAGCTTATTAATGGTGAGTACTGTTTATGATTCAGCAGCCCTCTGATGAATCAAAAAGGAGCCACAAATACAAAGGTTTGTTTTGCTAATCTGGTCAAGTCATTAGGAGTGATATCCTATGCTCAGTCCATTAGATTTGCCTTTTCCAATTTTTCTTTGACACCATTTGTAGAATGCAATTCCAATAATTCTTCAACAATTAACACGAACAGAAAGGAGATGTAGTTCATGTGATGCATATTGCCTTCAGCATGAAGATGACCTTCAGCATAGTCATTTTGTATTTGCCTTGAGCAGCACAAAGGAAATACCTGGCTTATCACTGAATATGGAAAATGATCCTGCCATAGCTGGTGGAGGATCAAGAGTATTCCATCCCTCTGTTCTCTTTTTTTTTCTTTATTTTTTTTTTCTGTACTTCCTGTGAGTGATCTGGGGATATTTCCAGAAAAAAAATCTCTATGGCCAACTTTCTGAACAGGTCTCACAAATCTGTGATGAAAAATGGTTTTTCAGTCTAAACCAATTGTTCTAAACCAATTTCTTTACACTGTTACTGCAGGTTTTATTGTCTAAGTATTTATATTTTCCTAGTGAAAGAAATATTGCACCCTACTCAAGAAGATCCATCCTGGATTACTGAGCATCCAACTGTACTGGAGCATGTGGAGTTTGATGTGAGTATGGTTCTGAGCAGTGTCCTTTTTAGTTTGTCATCTGTCCTTTTCATACATTCAAACAGCTTAATTAAGCAAGATGGAATTAAAACAAGCACTCAGAACTTCTCTATCTTATTGTTTATGTACAGAGGAGCAAAACCTCTGGTGAAATCTCTCATCTGATAACTTTCTGTTGAACAAGTTTTCCATGATCATCTTATATTACATAGCTGTCTAGCCATGACTTGCTCTTCAGGCTTCTTTTCTTCCTTTGTCTGTTTTTGGCATAATGTTTAAGCTGTAAATCGGTTTAAAAAAAAAAAAGAAAAAGAAAAAGAAAAAAAGATTAGACCCACAGCACTACCATTCTATGGAAGTTGAGAAATAGTTGTAAGGACTAAAGCAGGCTGCTAGAAGAGGTAAAAGGGTAAGTTTTATATGCTACTTCTGTTATTGTTTCATTTTACGTGCAAGTTCTTTGTTAGGGTTTTAAAAGGTGTCCACATCCTTGATGCCAGTAAAGCATCTTAGTTTCAGTTGGAACGGAATTGTTTTCTTCAGCAAGTCTAGTATGATGCTATGTTTTGTTCCAGGAGAAAAGTAATTTTGATAACACACCAATGCTTACAGTTGCTGCTAAGTAGTGTTGTACAGAGCCAAGGCCGCTCTGAAGGTCTGAAGTGAAGAGCGGAAGGAGCTGGGAGGGAACAGGATTGGGACAGCTACTTAAACTGGCCGAAGGGATATTCTATACCATAAGACATCATACAGAAGTAGTTCTGAAGGGTGTGGGAGTTCTTCTGGCTCTCTTCTGCTGCTTGGGGGCTAGCTGGGCATTGGGCATAGGGTGATGAGCAATTGCTTATGCATCACTTGTCATATACATCTATATATGTAAATAGTTATAACTATTTTCCTTTTCTCTATCTTAGCAAATAGTTTTATCTCAACCCACAAGTTCTACTTCATTATTTTTCTTATTTTCTCCTCCATCCCACTGAAAAGGGGGACAGACGACTGATGCTGAGCCACCAGCCAACCACAACACAAACGACACAGAAAATTAGTAGGCACTGGTTTCTGGTTCTTTTTTTGAAAATGTATCATTATCTCTTCTGAACACTTCTGAAACAATTCAGGATATAGATGAATGTTCCCTGTTGGACAGGAGAGTTAGTACCCCTGAACGTGTCTGTACAATGCAGCAGGGCTTCAAGCAGAGATACCAAGTGAGGTGCCAGTGATGAAGAGATTGGATTAATTAATTCTACTGACAGCTGAATGTTGGGGCTTTGTCTGGGCCTAAGGATTTACCCAGTAGGTTTTTACTCTGTTGTGTAACACACACATGCTTTCCAAAATTAAATGAGCACAGTTCATGCCACAAAAACCAGATTCATCTGTATTTGATGATAGATTTTCACTATGCTCTCTATGAGATGCTGTAATGAGCACAAGCATGCCTTACGTCAGACCAACTTCGGAAACATTCATAGAAGCAAAATTCTTAGTGACTTCACAGAAGCTGATGGTGTCTGTTCTATTGGTCACAGGTAGAATATCCTTAACTTCGTTACCAGTTTCCCCTGTTTTTCTATAACTATTAGTATTGAAAATGCAAATTTGTATGAGTTTGCTGTATGTGGCTTAAACATGGTCAGATTTAACTTTCAGGAAAGACTGTCTATTTACTACAACTATCTAACTATATTAAAACGTTATATATCTTTAACAGGACAATTTTCAGCCATTTTTATACTGACACATACATGCAAGATTTTGTAGTAGAGGTAGCTTTGTGATGTTACTTAGTTTTAAACAAATTTTAGGGTATGGTACATATAAGAAATATTACTGGATGTGCACAGATAATCTGGGAAATAATTTCATATAGATTTAAGAAACTCATAAACTGCTTAAACAATAAACAAGGCTGAAATGATTAGTCAAATATTTGCACAGATATCAAACCGTTGAGTTTCAAGTAAATAATATTACGTAGAACTGTTACCTATGAAAAAGAATTCAGCTATTATTTTTTGTGGCTAATCTGGGAATGAGTTGGATTTGTGTAATCGTACTGTGTCATGACATAATGTGGGACTATCATTACTTCATCTTATTGCTAGCAGATGGCACCAACTAATCATTAATTCCTTTATTTGACCTTTTACAAATCTCTTTAAAAATGAAGAAAAAAACAAGTCTAGCTTTTGAAACCTGTATTTTCTTGTTATTTCAGTTGAGTTACAACAGGTAGAATGCATTGGCTTATTGAGCACAATGTCTTTCTGGCAGCAGAAAACGGAAAATCAGGGAGGGTGTTCTATGTTTGCAGTCATCTGTCATATTTGTAAGCCTTTCAAGACATTAGCAAAAAAAAAAAGAACTTGCCAATATGATATTAAACTTGTTAATATAATATATAGCACTGTAACAAGAATCTTTGAATAATGTTCGTTGTCATAGGAACATCTATCCACATTAAAATAAATGATGAAGTGCAATTTCTGGCAACAAAATACTCAACATAAAAATGTATTGAGCAGCTATTGCTGGTAGTCCTTTTTCATTCTTTATGGAATTTATATGTGTAATTTGTTTCTAATCTTGCACAGTAACTTTTTTTTTCATGGGTTTATTTATAATAGTCAATTTTGCCAAATAAGATAATTGCTGGAGCACATGTCTCTCTGGTGTATATACTTTTCAACTGATAGTTACCATATACGTTCAAAAATATGAGAAGGCTGGGTGGCACAACAAGTGCATATAAAAACCATGGTCAATTCTGGTAGACAAATAATTAGATAAAAATACATTCACTGCTTTATTTCTAAAGTGTTCAAATATAGTTTGAAGGAAGATGAAAATTTAATTCACCTGCATCTCAACCAGGAGTATAATTCCAAGACTGAGAAGTATTTAGACTTCATTCATGCCAGAAGGAGATTAGAAGGAGATTAGAAGACAGAAATGTTTAAATAGATAGTTTTTGTTTTGTTTTGTTTTTTTGAACTGTCATATTTATTACCAAAACCCTTGTATGCTGTCCACTCAACTTTACTAATCAGTAATTAACTGTAAGTTCTACTTTCTTCATTTGGCAGTTTTTCATACCTCAAGATGTTTTTTTTTTTTTGGTCAATTTCTGACTTATTGCACAGCATTCATACTGGGACAGGTATCCGTGCAAAGCAGTAACTCCTGAGTTTAGGCAGGGAGCTTACTTTTGTAGCCTTGATTAAATTAGTTAATTTCCCTTTTTTTTTTTCTTTTTTTTTTTTTCCAATATGATTTCCTCATGAGACACTGTGGGAGTGGATTAATCTTCAAAGATAAAATGTGCTCAGTATTCTAACTGTAAACCAAATAATAACTGGGGTGTGGTCTTAAAAAGTAAATTGTGTGCAAATTGGAGGCTTAAAAACAAATTCTTTTCCCACAATTCATGTAATTGGCAAATTCATTTTGTGTATTCCTTGTTCATCATTACTGTTGATAGTTTTCTTTCCACATTGGCATCTCAGCTTTGTGAGTGATGCTATTCAAAGTTCTAAGTGCTCTTGGTTACATTATGATCACATTTCCCTCCCAAGTTCTCAGAGCCACAAATCAAAAGATAGTAATAAACAACTGTAGGGCACATGTACAGTTAAATTCAGTTTCTAAACTGGTTTTATACTAGCAACTATAATATTATAATTAATGTAATGATTATGGAGCTGATGAATAATAGCTGCTTGGACCTCTTCATTTCTTAGAAAGGATAACAATATTGTGTGTATTTATCTTTGATTTAAATAGAAATGGACAGTTCATTTTTTTCAGTAGGGAAAAGGAAAGGACACAGTGGGTATAGACTGTAAATCTCTGCATACCACTGCCTGAAGCTGCTCCTGAAGAATTGGAATGACTTCTTTCCCTTTTTAGTGGACGTGATTGGACACAAAATATGTGTCACGAGGACATGCATTTTACATGTACACTGGAAGTTATTAGCAAAGATTATGTTTGCAAATCCTTCTCCTGCTGTTTTGCACTACTTCCTCACAAAGGCAAAAGTACCAGATATTGCTCCTGGTTAACACCCCTTCATATATTCAGCCAGTATGGGCAGCCAATACTACCCCTGTAATAGAGGTTATGGTTTTGTTTCAGGATAACACTTTTTCAGCTGAATGGCCTTCAGCAGATGAATCAACTGTCAGCAATACCTTGCCCTTTGACTTCACCAAGCCAGATTCCACTTTAGATAGCGATGAGTCCAACGACAATGAAATCCGACCAAGACCAGAAAGCTTGGACTCTGAGGTCAGTTTGATACCTGAAGCTCCACTTTCTTCAGAGGCTGACATCACATCTTTGCCGGATGGGCTGAATTTAGGGGATGGGAATCAGACTCCTGCTTTGGTCACTGCACCAGGGATAGAGCATGATTCTCTGGACTCTCTGGAATGGCTTTCAGCCCCTGATTCTTCAGATGGTAAGTTCATTGACTGAAGTTTAAGTTTCTATATCAGTGTTTCTGGATATTCACTAAACATATAGTTTACCAAAATGACTTTTCAGAAAGGTCTATACGTTGGATATATTCCTCTGATTGTTTTCACCTTTACTGTGTACGTGTATCCAAGAACAAGACACTCTGATAACTTGCCTGTAACAGCTGATAATGCCTGTTTATCCCTCCAGCAAACTGTGTGTGCAAGATACTTCTTTAACTGAGTAGAACTATTTTCATATGGAGCGTGTTTGGGTGATTCCATGCAAAGATAATAGATCTCGGAAACAGAGATAGTTATCAGATAGTCTACTAAGGACATGCTACACAGTAACTGCTTTATTGAGTATTCTACAGTCTTGATTTGACTCATGGAATATCAGAATGAAAAGTGGAGAGGTCAAGAGGCCTTTAGACTTCAGCATGTCAAGATCAGTATATATCACAGGAAACATAATGAATGCTTATCTACAGACAACAAAATGAACCATATTTTACTTTTTTTTTTAATGTATAAACAAAAACTAATTGGAAGCTCATTTTTATTTTTAGAGTTTGAAGATACTGGACTATCTAATGACTTTCTTCTGCCTTCAAGTCCTCCTTCTCACCTTATGCCTAAAGAACCTCCATCTACAGATGATTATATAGCTCCCCTGCTTTCTGCACCAACAGTGGCCTCCTCATCAGTCCTGGAGACCGATACAAAAAGAACAGTGACTGCTGAGAAGAAAGAAGTAACTCAGGGTAGTCCTGCAGACAGTAGCAGTGCAGATTCTTTGTTGCACGAGTCTGTGGAAGAAAGTCCTTTTCCTTTAGAACGTGAAAATGATATTTATCTTGGAGATAGAATTATGTTTGATGATGGATCTGGTTCAGCTTTTGATGGTTCAGGAAAAGGAATGGAACCAAGTATTTGGCCTTGGGATGTGGCAACACTGGAACCAGTTTTCTACCCTGGTCCTGATAGCTGGCTTGATGATGATAATGATTCTTTGTTAATTAGAACTGAAGATATTCCTGAAGGTCTGATCTTAGATTATATTCTTAACTCTAGGAATAAATTAGATGATGATCCTTCCAAAGATGAGAATGAAGGTGTGGCCAATATAAAAGAAAATTTCCTTGACGAGTCTGAAATATTGGTCTTTCCAGAAACTACAACTCAGCAGGTACCTCTGCTACAGACAGGAGAGCCATCATCTGTGGAGCCATCTACACAGACGGAAACGCTGAGCATGGATGATTCTTCTTTTGTTAAACCACCCTTTGTTTTGGAGCCATCAGAGGACTATTCCTTTGCAGACCTGCCAACTGGAGAAGATCCTTTCTTACCACACAGTACAAGTTTGTCTGTTGAAGATAGTCTCCTTACATCTACAGTAACTCTTGGTATGGAGGATAGTCTCCTTACATCTACTGTAGCCCTTAGTGTAGAACAACCAGAAGAGTACAGTGTAGGTCAGGAGATAATTTCTGAAGCAGTTGAAGATCAAATTGAAGACAGGCCAACAGTAGAAGAATTATTCACAGCAGGGCAGTCAAACGTAGCTGAAGCTGCTACAATAGGTTACTTGGACAAAAGCTCTTTAGAAACTGTTCTGACTGTGGAACCTTTTGTGGTAAGCACTGATAGTTCCATGGAAGAGCATCAAACCGTAGATTCATCATTGGCAGACAGAGACACTGGATTAGCAATAAAGAAGCCAGTTGATGTTTGGCCTACTGACAGAGTACTAGAGAAGACATTAGATCAAACAGTGCAATCAGCAATTCCGACTGCAGCTCAAGTTTCAACTGCAGTTCCTTCTTTAATAGATCAAGCCACTGCTCTAGATGGCTTTGCTGGGCAGGATGGTACAGAACATGACACACGTGTTTCCATGAGCATCAGCACCATTCTGAAGTCCTATGTAACTGTAACAGCAGGCACTGTTGAGCTTCCATCTCATCTCCCTCCCATGGCATCCACAGTATCATCATCTGTGGTTACCTCAGCAAAGTTGGGAGATGAAACAACAAGAGTCCTGGATGTTTCAGTGGACCTGGATCATGTGAGCATGGTCAGCTTTTCTCCAGAGCCAAGTGAGGAGGCAAAGAGCATGACTGACAGTCACATGGAGCCAACTACCCATGCCCATTCCACACAGATGGCCGGTGTGGCTTGGCCCACGCATGAAAATCACAATAGCACTCCTGTTCCATCACGAGCTTTAGTTGTGTTTTTCAGTCTTCGGGTTACCAATATGATGTTTTCAGAAGACCTGTTCAATAAGAATTCCCCTGAATATAAAGCATTAGAGCAACGATTCTTGGAACTGGTAAGAGTAATTTCTGTGCTAAATATCCATTTCCATAGATAGAAATTGTTGGTAAGAGTTGGTCTGCTCTCCTTTGCAGAGAGTAACTCAAGACTGGTGTTTCCAGATGTTATATGTGTCCCTCTCCAGGAAAATGCTATCTGGAAATATGAAGGGGGGAGTGGGGGGTGGAGGTGGGACGGGGAGGGCGGGGCATTTTCAGTTTTGTTTTATTTTCACTTTTTAGTCAGTCAGCAGTCTCTCTAAATCTAATGATCTCATTATCTTAATTTTCTAGTGATACTGGCCAGATGCTCTGCTGGTGTCAGTAGATGCAGCACATGTAGCTTAATTCAGTAAAACGTTTCCTTAAATTGCTTGTGGTATGCTCTGGGTTTAGTCTAGGGGGAGGGAAGAAGTAAATACATGGGGACTGTTGATAGCCTTTCTGCAACTCAATCCATCCCAAGTAAGAGATAGTTTAGGGAAATGTGATGTTTGTAAATGGACTGTTCTCCTAAATAGTCAGTGGCTAGCAAAGCCTCATAGAAGAAATACAGGAACAATTATCAAATTTTAACCTGGAAATTCTCTTCTCCTGAGTGTAATGAATATTTTTCTATGGGAGATGGAGGGAGTAAAGGAGAGAGATAGAAAAGGATAACATGCTTGAGGGAAATACCCTTTGAAATGACATGTATATGTGTTGGGCAAGAGAGAGCTCTGCGTACATCCATACAAGTGTGTATCTAAACTGTAGATTAGGAACTGTCTACAAATTGATATTTGGTGTGAAGAACTCCGGACCCTGGCAAGATCCCAGTATGGGCTTCAGTCAGGAAGAGTTTTAATACCCTTGCCATGGGATTTGGATAAACTAATTCAAACTCCCACTGCCTGATGTGATACCAACTGACTTGAGTATAGATTCAAGGATTCAGCTTTTCTGTCACTGTCTCTTATGTTGCAGCTGGTGCCATACCTTCAGTCAAATCTAACAGGCTTCCAGAATCTGGAAATCCTGAACTTCAGAAATGGCAGCATTGTGGTGAACAGTCGAATGAAGTTTGCCAAACCTGTGCCTCGAAATGTCACCAACGCTGTGTATATGATCCTGGAAGACTTCTGCAACACTGCATATCACACCATGAACCTGGCCATTGATAAATACTCTCTGGATGTGGAATCAGGTAAAAATGGCAGGGAAGTAAGTTTTGAAGCAAGGGATTCTGCTTTAACAACCTATTTAGGATCCTAACAGCTCAGAGATTTCCCAGTGCTTTTCACAAGCTGGGCTTTTCTAAAGCTCAGGTCACACTTTCATAGAGTTTAAATAAACAAAAGTCTGTTACGGGACTAAAGAGAGGAACAACGAAATGGGACCCAGATTGAACAAACAATATGGGGCCCATATAGAAATATGGGATTCAAAGTGGCTTGCATAATTGTCATTGCACTTTCATTGAGGAGTTAGAAGAGGACTGGTCAGCAGGAACAGTGGTGCCCATCTCTATTGTGCTGACTTTCACATGTGGTTTGAATTTCCCCACATGTTAACTAGCCAGGTAACCACAGTTTAACTGTGAGGTATGTACATGGAAAATAGTTGCTGACTTACTCTTATACTCAGAGTTTGATTGCAGTATAGTGTCTGTCCCTTAGTCCATTTGTGATATAGGGAACTTTCTTTCTGTCCAAGTTAGCCAGTAGTGTATCATAAAAGCAACCTGGAAATAGTTCCTGTGTTAAACAACACTGCTGACAAATGGCAGCTGTGCTTCTGAGGAAGTTCTGCTATAAAGGCAGTCTATTTAGCATGAAAAATCTTTGATTTTGATATTGATATTAAATTTAATGCCAGCCCTCTTAAGCTTGATATGCAACACATCAGATATACAACAGGCTTGTGTTCCTTGCAGACAAAGGCACTTCACAGGTAGGGACTGGGTGCCTGAAGTCTCCTTTCCCTTCTCTGTGTGCTGCCTATATTCTCTGTGACAAGAAGTACTGGAGATCAGCTGTGTTTTACTCATTTGCAAAATACAGTTCCAGCAGAGAGAGAACATCTGAGGTCGTGTTCCAGTAAGAAAAAGAACACTTCTTATACTTGCCTTTTCAATTGGCTTGCTGGGTGGTCTTAGCCATACCACTTATGTGCACTGTGCAGAGGAATACTTCCTTGTGTTTGTTCACCTTAGCAGAGCCCTTTGAAACTCAGGAAAGATGCTTGCTGCATTTTGGCAGATTATTTTAACTAAGAAGTCATTTGAGAAAATGGCAACAGTGCTCTGCTTTAGGTAATGTTCTCTTCTATTACTAATATTTTCTGCTTTTGGTGTTCCCAGGAGAGCAAGCAGATCCCTGCAAGTTCCAGGCCTGCAACGAGTTCTCTGAATGCTTAGTGAATCGCTGGAGTGGGGAAGCTGAGTGTGTCTGCAATCCTGGCTACCTGAGCATCGACGGGCTGCCCTGCAATAGCATTTGTGATCTGCAACCCAACTTCTGCCTGAATGATGGCAAGTGCGACATCAGCCCTGGGCAAGGGGCCATATGTAGGTAGGTCATCTTCTGTTTGATGCACGTGCATTCCTCTGTCCTTGGGATTCCATGAAATACGTGCAAAATTCCCTACGATAATGTGTAACACGTGAGATGCTAGTGATTATCAATCGTAACACTGTTGAGTGGAGGTCCCAGTTTTAATATTACTTTTCAAAAATGAGACAGTAACAAATTTCTTTAATAGAACAGAAATGCCAGGAAGTAAAGCTATCTACAAAAAATAGCAGTGGCGTATATTGAGTTGTTCACTTCACTTTCTTTGAATTTGAGGACAGAATTTATCTCCAGAAGTTTCTCTAGTAGCAAAGTGTTAGATAATGTCATAAAACATTTTAGTTGACTCCAGTACAAAAATCCAGATTTGAAAGGCATCCTCGTTTAGCATAGATACATTAAATACAGTGCTCTTTCTTAAGAAAAAGGTCCCATAAGGAAAGAAAGCATTGCTAATTTGGGAAAAATAATGTGTGCTTCATATGACACATCACGACATATGCTTCAGATCAGTTTTTTTTGCTTTTTAAGGTTCAGATGTCTTTAAACAGATGTTTGTGTTTCACAGGTAACTGAAATAGTGCAAGGTACTGATAAATGTGCCCTCTGATACTGCACTATTTTTTTCCCTGTTTATCAATGTAATAATCTGTTTTTAATAACTAATTCATTATACCTATCAACAAAAGGTAGAATTAATTAAAACAATGCAATAGCTATAACTACTTACATTAGTTATTATTTGTTATATAGTTACTTACATTAGTATAACTACTCATATTAGTTCACGTGATTTTATTTTAATAAGGCTTGCTTAGAACATTAAGAAAATTAATTAATCTTAGGGGCTTAGCAGCTAACAAGAGAAACAATAAAATGTTTTGGGTTTTTTTTTTTGTTTTTTTTTTTTTTTTTTTTTACCATATGAAAATAGTTACTTTCACAGATGTGTATAGTGGTATAAATTTTATCATATTTGTATAATAGTGCTAACAGGAACCACATGTGCTCAGGTATGCTTTGGCCAGTACTTAGGAAGACGTTTTCAAAAAAGTTGAAGTATCAGTTACTGCTTTTAGAAACTATTTCAGATATTTAGGTCAAAAGACTTAATTTACTGATGTTTTCTATTAATGAGGCTCACTGCTGTGAGTGGCTGTAATTCCTTGAGATTTTAGAACAAAATGTCCCAAAAACATGCAATGTAACATATTTTGTTTTTACTGGTAGATTTTAAGTAAGTGTGTATATTTTAGAAGTCTGTATTACCTAAAGATTTCATATTCCAAAGCACAGCAAAGCAGAAATTATGAATGCTGATTAAGGAAGCAATTCCAAAGATTCATTCTTGGGAGCAAGCTTCTTTCTAGTCATTTCTTTTATGTATTTACCTAACTGTTGTAGTTTACACACTATGAGCATTTTTCTCGTTTAACACACATTCATGTGTATTTGCATTGCAATAGCATTAAAAGATTGTTTTCTACCTTTGTAGTGTTTGATACATTACCTGCAAGGCTCTATCAGTGCATGAGTTTTTATTTAATCTAGATACTTCATAGAATCATAGAATCACAAGGTTGGAAACGACCTACAAGATCATCTAGTCCAACCATCTCCTCATCACCATTGCCACCACAAGCTCTAAACCACATCACGCAGCACGTCATCCAGACACCTCTTGAACACTGCCAGGAACGGCGACTCCACCACCTCCCTGGGCAGCCATTCCAGTGCCTGACCACTCTTTGAGAGAAAAAGTTCTTCCTTATGTCCAACCTAAACCTCCTCTGATACAACTTGCGGCCATTGCCCCGTGTCCTGCTCATTGCCTGGGAGAAGAGGCCAAATCCCTCTTCACCACAACCTCCCTTCAGGAGGTTGTAGAGTGCAGTGAGGTCTCCCCTGAGCCTCCTCTTCTCCAGACTGAACAATCCCAGCTCCCTCAGCCGCTCCTCATAAGACTTGTGCTCCAGACCCCTCACCAGTTTCGTTGCCCTTCTCTGGACACGCTCCAGGACCTCAACATCTTTCCTGTAGTGAGGAGCCCAAAACTGAACACAGTGCTCAAGGTGCGGCCTCACCAGGGCTGAGTACAGAGGGATGATCACCTCCCTGCTCCTGCTGGTCACACTATTTCTAATGCAGGCCAGGATGCCGTTGGCCCTCTTGGCCACTTCAGTTGTACCACATCACAGGATGCTCTTATTTAGAGCAAGTTTGCCACCACAAATGCATTATCCTTTTCTTATTCTACCTATCTTTACTCAGTTCAGCGATACCAAATGGCTGTTGCCAATAACAATAAAAAAGTTGGTGCTCAAACTTGGGAAGGCATTTACTGTTGAGGTAAATTAACTGAGGATACATCACAAGAAGAAATTAAATACATTTATATCAATCAAAGTTGCAGCTTTTGTTGGTGTTTAATTTCCTAGCATTTCTTTTTTGCAGGTGTCGTGTAGGAGAGAACTGGTGGTACAGAGGGGAGCACTGTGAAGAATATGTGTCTGAGCCACTGGTCGTGGGTATTGCCATTGCATCTGTGGCAGGATTCCTTCTGGTGGCATCTGCTGTTATCTTCTTCTTGGCAAGGACCCTTCGAGACCAGTACACAAAGAGTGACACCGAGGACTCACAGGGGTATGTGGCACCATCTAATGTCACAAAGCTCATCTGCCAGAGTAAGGATAATTCCATCATAAGTCTTGTGTCGTGCAGCTGACCAGCAGCAGGGTTTATGCGCACCTCCAAGTGCCAGGCTTCCTTAGTCTGTCTGCTGCCGTTCTGGGCTGCAGAGAAGCTCACTGTTTGTTCATTGCTCCCTCAGGCAGGGTGACAGCCTCTCGTCCATTGAGAACGCAGTTAAATACAACCCCATGTATGAAAGTGATACGACTGGCTACAGCCATTATTATCGCAGATACCCTCAGCTAACGTCCTACAGTTCTACCAGTGCAGAGACATCCACCGACTACAGCAGTGAAGAGATAAGGCACATTTATGAAAACAGTGAGCTTACTAAGGAGGTAAATGACCTTGTTTTCATAATGCCATCAAAAGATCTTGTGAAAAATAAGCTTATTGAACAATTGCAATTTGAGGCCTCAGTCTTTCTCAACAATCTGTGCTCTAGATAGATAAGGCACAACTCTGACTGCTGCAACTATTAAAGAGGAGAGAGCAAGCAGGGAAAGAAATCCTTCCTATCAGGTATACAGACAGGAATGTGTGTATTCTGACTTGTAATGAATTTCACGTGATAAAAGAGCTGAATACTTAAGTAACTGCACAAGGGCTGCAGTGGTTTGCTTTAGTGCTAGACATGGCCTTTAGCTTTTGATGCCAACTGACATGCAGGAATCATTGCTGTAAAAATCTGGAACTGCCTGGCCTTTAATATAGGATTCTTAAAGCTTAGTTCTTAGTATAACCTGCAAGTTAGATTATACTGTCCTACCTTGTTGTATAGATGGTATCCAGGATTCACTGAAGAGGAGACAGGATTTACACCCAGGAGCAAGCCACAGATTCTTAAGCAATTGTGAGAGGTGTGAATCCAGCCTGTAGCCAGGGTTGTGGGGAAAGTATCCATGAGAAAGAAATGGTTCTGTTCAAGCCAGTTGAAATGTCACATTCTATCCAAACCCTGGTTTTAACAGTAAAATATGACTAGATTCCAAAACTGAAGTGCTCCACTTTTAAAAATAGCATGAAGAAGAATTTTAGCCCTGGACTGTCCAATTTCAAGGTCTCCTCATTGAAACAGCAAAGGATATGAGTTTTATTTTCCAAGAAAAAGAAATAGATTGTTTCAGTAGTACTTTAATTTCTGTTATGTACCTAAAATTTCTTTTTTGTATTCTAGGAAATTCAGGACAGAATTCGAATTATAGAGCTCTACGCTAAGGACCGTCAGTTTGCAGAGTTTGTTAGGCAGCATCAAATGTGAGTGAAATATCTTGTCTGCATAATTCCTTTGATGTTTTTTCATGTAACCTTTACTACATTACTGTATTTTTCATAAGATGGGCCTGGAAATACTGGACTTAACTAGATACTAAACTACTAAACTAACTAACTACTTAACTAGAAGTTAAGATATCCGTACTTTCTGAAGAAGCTCAATGCTTTTTAAGTACTTAATTTAATCACTGTCACAAGTAGGCAGTTAGGTTAAAAAGTGGTGAAGAGGAATCCTGCAGTTAATGGGTGTCAGAGAAGCACTGACATCAACTTGATCCTGAAAGCACAAATAGAACCTTCCTGACTCTTTTAGCGTAGGTACTGCTGCTACCTGTTTATTTAGAAGAGAAATTTTTAAAAGCATGTTAGTTCATCTCAATTTTGCAAGACTTGACTTGGCAGCTAACCCAGCAGGTCACTAGTGCAGTACTATCATCTGATATTGTGGGCATGTTATCAGAATAGAAGGTATACAGTTCTGAACAGTTAACCAAGCTGAATTGTGTGCTTTGATGAAAGTCAAGCTTAGGAAAGACTACTAAGGAATTAAGTGTTGGCATTCAGTCTCCTACAAACTGTATTATCACTATAGCAATAAGAATATCACAGATATCGCTGTTCACTTAAAAGATTCTGAAGTGCGGTTCCTTGGGATTGGGTTAAAAACAGCTACAGTAGCACAACCCCTGTATTCCAAAGACCTCAACTACAGTTTTGTTTTGTTTCTTAATTGAAAATAACTGCAGTTCACATTTTTCCATGTCACTTGTTCATATTTTCATCTTGAGACAGATCAGCTTCTAAATTTTCCACAGCTGGAAAGTAGAAAGGGCTGTCTCATATAAGCCTTGAATCCAAAGCTTGAAAGAGAAAGAGACTAACTTAATCATTGCTTCTCTGTTTTTCATTTCAGGAAGCTGCTTTAAGAAAAAAAAAAAAAAGAAATCAGTAGAGACCACGTGGGAGATAAAGACTACCTTGTTGCCATAGCAATGGGCTCAGATGTAACTGCAAAGTTACTTATAGTCTTAACATTGCATGGATGGATACAGATGTTTTCTAAATGAATGGCTGAAATGTACAGATGTCTGTTTATCTCAATTACCTCTGGCTTCTCTGCATAAAGTGACATTTTTAAGAAGTGATCAGAAGTGGCAGAGGTTATGAAAGTTCATTTTTCATTAACTCTGAAATGGACAGTGGTAATTTGTACACCAAGGCAAAAAAAAAAAATCTCCTCAGAAAAGAGAAGATACGTTCACAAACTAAAAATAAAAGGCACCTTTAAAATCCTGTCTGGCATTTATCCCCTCACTGGAATCTACTGCAGTGAATTCACAAGTACAAGGTGCTAGTGGAAAGAATGTGGTTTGCACGTGAATGGTTTGTAGGAGAGAAGCACAGTGATAGAAGGGTGTTAGCATTATTTTAAAGCATTCCCAGCATAAACACAAAAGTAACCTCATCGGAAAAGATGTTATTTTACACAACTGCCTGATTAAACTTTTGCCACCTGGCATTAGCGAAACATCACACTGCTGAGGCTGCAGCCCTCTGAAACGCTCTCTCCACACAGTAAGTGTCACTGCTGGCTTGCAGTGGCCACATCTGGTACCAGAGCACAACAGGGCACTTCTGCAATACAGTGTTATAATGTCATGATGGGTGGCACTCCAGCTGTTCCTGAAAGACACACGAGCAGGGACACAGAAGGTCTTCTATAATACAAATGTTGTGTAAAAGTTAAGTGACCAACATTGACTTTTTTGTACATAGACAATTTGTTGTTAAGATGCATTGTTTATTTGTTGTGTATTTCCTTACCAGCTTATTTTCAGAATGGATTTGATTGCTGAAATAGAAAGATGAGTAGGATAATGACAAAATACTACAGTGATGTTTGTGCACATCTTTTTTAAAACCATAGTTAGTATTTACTCAGTGTTGGATTCAGCCAAATATTGGTTACATTTTCATTTCTGAACAGAGCAATACTGACCCACCATGAACTGTGTTTCAAAATCAAGCTGTGGTATTTATATGCATACATATTTGCTGAATGGCAATAGTTTCTTAGGGGGAAGAGAAAAAGCCAGACTCGCCTCAGCCAGGGCAGTCTTTCTCTAGCAGAAGCAGCTCTCCTGAAGCATTTTAGAGCAACTGAATAGATATGGGACCTTACAAGGTACAGAAACTGCATTTTATCTTGAAATTCTAAAGAGAGCTTTGACCACCTGTTAAAGTATGTGGGAGCTCTGGTTAGACACAACATTTGTGTTGCTAAGGCACTAACACTGCAATCAGGGCTAGGGCACTAACAATCTACAGTAGCTTCTACCTGCAAACAAGTCCAAGATGCTTGTTGTCTTTACAAAGGTAATTGTAGCTTTCTGTCCACATGTGCCAACAGCCACACGATACTTTTGCAAGTTTGGTGTTAGTGAGAATTACTTACTTGACTATAGGCTGATTTACCTAAGCAAGTAAAGATTTCAGTACAATTTCTTTATGCGTTCTGGAGAACCTTGCTGGATCACTTCCACAGTATCTTTTTGCCTTGAGGGGCAGCAAATGGCAGAGCCACAAATCTGTCAAAGAAAGGTTTACAGAAATCACTGTAAGCCCAAATAATACAAAGCAGTGGAATACGGTGCAGATTAATACTGTTGTGACCAGGTGTTAGAAGACAGAGGTCACACAGTGTGACCCAGTGCTCTCAGGGCAGCTGGGATCAGGTACGTCTTAATGATACTCAACTACCTGCTGGACAACTCTTGGTATTTCAGTGTATATACTGTGTTTCTTTCCTGTTTGTGTGTGTGTGTACCTATAAGCATAATGATATTTTCACTACAATAAAATACAATTTCCAAAATGCTTTTTCTAGAAAATTGATATGGAGACTGTGAGTTTGACATAAAGAAATGACGTATCTTAGCCATGAGGAGTTGTGCACACAGTGGCAGGAAGCTTGGTGTTTGACTTCTTTTAAGACTGAGTTGGTTAAGCTGTTGAGCTCATTGCTAGCACAAGTGCTGACATCATTCTTTATTACTTGCAGGGTTATATTCTCAAAATTAATGCTGCAAAACGTGTAATGAGGGGCTTTGCTTTCTACTATTATCTTTGCTCATTATAAAGCGGTGTTTGGCTCTAATTAAAGAACCAAAACGTTACTGAGGGGATCTTGATGTCTTAACAAAAACAAAGGACCCCTCCTCCTTCAGGCCTCCTCTCATGAACTCTGATGATGCATCTCATAATATGTCACGAAGAACCTAATGAACTGTCTTGTTTTAAAGAGTTTCCCAATCAAAGGCAGAGACAAAATGCTAATATCCTCATAAAAACAAGCCAAGCTCTGTATAAAAATCTATTAGTACTTGC